CGTATCCGTGCGGCGCGTGCGGCCGCGCATCCGCGGGGCTCGCGCCGCGGATATCCGGGCAGCGAGGGCGCGGATGCGGGCACGTTCGAAGCTCGTGAGGGGTGTGCAGAGCAGGGAAGACCTCCCAGCAGTGTGCTAGAGTTAAGTCGTGCGTGTCCCTCTGCAGGAGGAGTCTTCAAAGATAGTCAAAACATAGTCTGGGTCCGATGTTTTGACAATTTTTGAATACTGTGGGGTATTTTTGGACTATTTTGAATTTTTCGTTTAAAATCCCCCTGTAGGGGGACAGGTCCGACCTAATGCGAGAAACTGTTTTTCTGGGTCCGGTGATCGACAAGGTTATCGGGTCCGCCCTTCCTCCCCGATAACCTCGACTGCACGTAAGAGTGACGCTTCGCCAGAGTGACCTTTGGTGCTCGCCCATTGGGGTTCTCCGGTCGCCGATCGCCGAACGCGATGCGAAAGTGGCGTCTTGCGCGCTTGTGTGTGGTCCCCGCGCGGCCCCCAGAAAGACGCGCACCAAATGTCATTCTTACCCGTTGTCACTCCTGGCGTGTAGCCGATACCCTGAACTGGTCATCTGCGCAGGTCCGAAGGGGCACGCAGCACTGGTGCGCGCGGGCATGTACGCGAGGCTGCCCAGGGCGAACAGGCTAGGTACTCGGCCAGCACCTCCCTACCGGATAACCACGGGGCTCAGCAGACAGGGTTCCATGCAAACGGGGGTCGGGCAGAGCGACCGGTCTTGCAGGATCCTGCGGAGCCAGGGGTGCATTAACCCGGATTTTGGGTGCAGGATCTTGCAGGATCCCGCGAGATTTTGCAGGATCTTGCAGGATTTTGCAGGATTGACTGGGGTCAGTAGGTCCCCGAGAGCCCGGGGAGGCAGGGAGGGCCTTCGGGTCCGACAAGGGCATCTTCCCCCTTCCCCCCAACCATCGCCCCCCATGAGTTCGCGCCCAAACCTAGGTAATCGCCGGACAATTCCTATACATATATGCATGCATTTAGAGAGATACGAACAGTTCCTATGCATATATATATATAGAGATATCGATCTATCTATCTATATATATATATATATAGACATAAAGTTATATATGGATAGACATATATATATATATATACCTATATATATACCGATAGATAGATATATCGATACATAGATATATATATAGATCTATACTTAGTTCGATATTCAGATATATAGATTGATATATATATATAGATGGTCTATATATATATATATATATATATATATATAGATGGTCGCCCCCCCTGTGATCATACATTTCGTCGTCGTCGTCGTCGTCGTCGTCGTCGTCCTCTTCCTCCTCCTCCTCCTCCTCCTCTTCCTCCTCCTCCTCCTCCTTCTCCTCATCTCGGGGGAGGGGAGTAGGGGGGGAGGAGTAAGCGGATGAGACGGAGGAGGGTGTCCGCGGGGGCCGAACTGGAGACCGAAAAACAGGAAAAAAAGGAAACATAGGAAAAACACTTGTGTTTCCAAAGGGAAAATAGGAAAGCAACTCCCCTTTCGAGGGCGGGGAGGAGGAACAACAATGAAAACAAGTGAAAAAATGAGGAAGCGGAGGAGTAAGCGGAGGAGACGGAGGAGGGTGTTTTTTCCTTTTTTCCCCTTTCCCCGCCCTCGGAGGAGGAGTTGTTTTTCTTTTTTTCCATGTGAAAACGCAGTTTTTTTCATATTTTTGTTTTTGTTTTCTGTTTTTCGCTCCCCCCCTGGGGCGGCGGGGAAACCTTGAGGGGCCGAACGGGAGACAGAAAAAGAGGGAACACATTAAACATATGACACACAACTGTGTTTTCACATGGAAAAGAGGAAAAAAGCTCCTCCTTCGAGGGCGGGGAGGAGGACAAACAAGAAAAAAGGAAAACAAAAGGAGGAAGCGGGGGAGTAAGCGGAGGAGACGGAGGAGGGTGTTTATTTAATTTTTGTTTCCCCTTTCCCCGCCCTCGGAGGAGGAGTTGTGTTTCTTTTTTTTCCATGTGAACACACAGGTTTTTTCATATTTTTATTTTTTTTCCTGTTTTTCGGGCCCTGAGGCGGCGGGGACACCCCGAGGGGCCGAAAGGGAGAGCGAACAACAGGAAAACAAGGAAAACTAGGAACAATCGTGTGTTTTCACCAGGGAAAAAACTGAAAAAAACTCCGCCTCCGAGGGCGGGGAGGAGGAAACAAAGGAAAACAAACCACCCTCCTCCGTCTCCTCCGCCTAGTCGACTCCTTGACTCAACGTTCCCGCCCGTTTTCTGCTGAATTCCGTTCCTCTTTCTCTCGATATCTCTCCTCTCTTCTCCTCCCCCTCTCTCTCTTGACTCTCTCTCTCTCTTTTTATCCTCCTCCCTCTCTTGACTCTCTCTCTCTCTCTCTCCCCTCCTCTCCTCTCCCTTCCTCTCTCTCTCCTCCTCCCTCTGTCTCTCCCCTCCCTCTCTTGACACTCTCTCTCTCTCTCTCTCCTCCTCCTCCTCCTCCTCCTCCTCCTCCTCCTCCTCTCCTCTCCTCTCATTATATGTACCCCCGCCCCGCCACAAACGGAATCGATATGTAAATCCGCTTCCCCCGTGTCCACCTCCGCCTCCTACTCTTCCTCCTCCTCCTCATCATCTTTCTCCTCCTACTCCACACAAGGAATCCATGTGGAGGCCCCTCCACAGACAAACTCAATATGTGGAGGCCCCTCCACATAACGAGTCTATATTCGAAGGCCCATCCACATAAGAAATCCATGTGGAGACCCCTTTGACCTAAGAAATGAATATGTGGAAGTCCTTCCACAGACGAAATCAACATGTGGAGGTCCCTTCCACATAAGGAGTCAATATGTGGAGGAATCCCCCCCCACAAGAGGAATCAATATGCGCAAGGCCCCTTGCACATAAGGAAAAATATGGGGGAGGCCCCTCCACAAAAGGAAACAATATCATCTTTCTCCTCGTCATCTTTCTCCTCCTACTTCTTCTGCTCCTTCTTATCCTCAACCCCTGCGCCAGAGCGGGAGGAGGAGGGGGAGGAGCAGGAGGAGGAGGAG